GTAGGTGGCCTGTTGCAAGGCAAATTTCTGTCCCTATCCAATATACTGTCATTTTCCAATGGCAGTCCAAATTGCCCCGATTTTCGTCTCGGACGGCCTCTATTACATGACCTACCTATTGTATTTATTTTGAATTTGTTCTCGTCCTGAACATGCATGAAATATTTGCCACTAGACGTTACCCAACCCACAATCAGTCATTTTCAAAATCCTTTTTTTTTTGCCTATTATTACGCTGTTTTAGACTGTTTTAATCAATAGAACGATTGTCTTAAAGGAGCATTAGCTGTCAAGTTCATGTTCACCGATTTGACTCAAATTCTCATATTTGATTTATTACATACAAAAACGTATATCCAAATTACAATAAGTCTGAAATAAACAATTAACAATGCACGGACTCGATAATATATATATCAGCATTTCGTGTGTATTTTAGTCTAGACGTCATCTAACTAACCATCGAGATGACCTCCGAAGACTGCCGACTAACCCAATTTAAACATAAGCATAAATATCAATAGATAGCGACCTCGTGCAATTGGACTTTTCTAGGTCTGTTTGATTTCATGTAATAGGTTAGAAAAATAAGATAATCATCGTTTTTACCTGTATAAGAAGGATTTTTTTGTGGATCGAATCAGTCAACAAAATGGTTCATCCTTATTTCACTTTCAATGTTGACATTCTTTCTTTTTTAATGGCTGAACACGACTAATACATACATGAATGGTTTTACACTAGTAATTTTTGGGGCCCTTTATAGCTTGCTGTTCAGTGTGAGCCAAGGCTCCGTGTTGAAGGCCGTACTTTGACCTATAATGGTTTAGTTTTATAAAATGTGACTTGAATGGAGAGTTGTTTCATTGGCACTCATAACTCATCTTCTTATATCTAGTAACACATCTCTAGCTAATGGGTTGAATTGAAGGTCACATGAATACGGATTCAATGAGGTCGAATTATTCACTTGCAAGTGAATAATTTCATCAGCGATGTTTCTTAGTTTATTTTGACAAAATTGAACTAAATTGGCTGCTAAAATCGAATTATCATTTCACTTTTTCCCTTTCATTAATGATTGAACAAAAAAATCATATTTTATTTTTTTTCATATCTCGTAGCTAATGCCCCTTTAAGGTACCGACCATTTACATAATAATAAAAAAAACATACAGAAACATTTTCTAAACTACATGTTGAAACCCCAGCCCTTCACTTTCAATGGTATCAAACGATTTTTATCACTTCATTATAAATATATTTTTCCTTCAAAAATAATTTGAATTTAAACATTTAAACCAATTATCTAACCCCTTCACCCCTAACAAAATATATCTAATTGAAAATTTAAAAAATATATAATTTGGTCTGCGCCTAAGAAAATTTACAGAGAAAGTTTTCATTCAATTCTATGTTATGTACATGTTGTTTACTGGTGTGAACAATTTTCATGTACATGTAATTAAAACCGATGTACAGATGAGAACAAATTTAATATGAAACCAGTGTTTATTACATGAAACTAATTGTAAACAGGTATACAGTACGCGACGTTTGGTGTGAACACGGCCTAACATATCTATAATATGTAATCATTATATGTAACTTGCCCTTTATGGGCCGAAAATTGGTTTAATAAAGTATTCGTTTTTATACGCCCGTTTACGGGACGTATTATGGTATACTGCTGACCGTCTGTCCGTCTGTCCGTCCGTCCGTCCGTCGTCAACATGTCGGACATTAATTCAAAAACGATTTAACCAATATGCATGAAACTTTGGTGAATTGTTTATATCTATTGACCTGAGCTCCCTTTAGTTTTTTTATAAATTTCGGATTTACTGTTTCCGAGTTTTGGGTTTTTTTCATTAAAAAAGGGGTGATTTTCCAGTTTTCAGACAATAACTCAAAAACAAATTCACCAATTTGCATGAAACTTTGGTGAATTGTTTATATCTATTGACGTGAGCTCCCTTTTGTTTTTTTATAAATTTCGGATTTACCGTTTCCGAGTTTTGGGGTTTTATTCATTAAAAAAGGGGGGATTTTCCAGTTTTCAGACAATAACTCAAAAATGCTTTCAGCATTTTTTATGAAACGTTAGTTATTTGTTTATATCTATTTTTGTAAGCTCCCTTTTGATTTTTATAAATTTTCGAATTTAGGTTTCTGAGTTATAAGATTTTATTTGTTTATAGTCTGACAACAGATTTACTAAGCATTGTGCAACAGCACAGTGTATTGCACAACAGCAAGAAATCTTTAATTGAATATAAATTCAATTCATATAACCAATTATACAACATTTATTATACCCCACGCAACGAGTTGCGGAGGGTACAATGTTTTTGACCCGTCCGTCCGTCAGTCCGTCAGTCCTGTTTCTTGTCATCGCAACTCCTCTCAAACCACACAACAGAATTTCACGAAACCTTTTTAGATAATAAGGACATACTATGTAGTTGTGCATATCGACAGGAAATTACGATTCAATTCTTTTTCTAGGAGTTACGCCCCTTTGAACTTATTTATTTTAATGTACTACTGCAACAGTTTGTCATCGCAACTTCTCTCAAACCACACAACAGAATTTCATGAAACCTTTTCAGATAATAAGGACATACTACGTAGATGTGCATATCGACAGGAAATTACGATTCAATTTTTTTCCAGGAGTTACGCCCCTTTGAACTTATTTGCCCAATATACTACTGCAACCTTTTGTCATCGCAACTCCTTTCAAACCACACAACGGAATTTCATGAAACCTTTTCAGATAATAAGGACATACTACGTAGATGTGCATATCGACAGGAAATTACGATTCAATTTTTTTCCAGGAGTTACGCCCCTTTGAACTTATTTGCCCAAAATACTACTGCAACCTTTTGTCATCGCAACTCCTCTCAAACCACACAACAGAATTTCATCCACTTATTTTATTTCTCCAATGACAATGTGGTGACGTGGAGTATGTGAGCGCGCTCACTAAGGTTCTTTCATTCAGAAACCTATAATATGTCAAATATTTAATTACAATCCAAATTCAGACCTGTATCAAGCTTGAATATTGTGTCCATTTTTGCCCCAACTGTTCAGGGTTGGACCTCTGCGGGCGTATCCAGCTGCGCTCAGCGAAGCAGTTATTGTGTTTGTATTCGTACAGAATTTGTACACACCATCGTTTAGTCCATATGATACCTTTGTTATATCTTATACGTGAATTTTGCATTCCTTGTCCAGACAGGCAGATTTTTATTTCAATTTCTTGCATAAAACCATAATGTTATCTCGTTTTAAACAATAAACAATAAAATTGAAAAAAAGGTGTAAACGACTAATTTCAGATATCACAACAGAACTACTGGTCTAATATTAGCAAATAGCTTGTTCAGAGCGATTTCAAAATTGACGTTTTTTTCTAAAAATGTTACCATAAGATAATGTTCTTATTGGACGTTTTTTTTTTTTCGAAAAAGGCGGACGATATTTAATCCACGGTTCCTTGGACAGTTATCTTGTAGGGCAAAGAAAGGGGGGAAATACGCTTTTAAGTAGTACAAGGTCGGTAAATTTTAGATTATTAACTTTTTTTAAATTCAGGCTTTCTCCTAAATTGATACATTCTTTATAGAACTGAGTTTTAATTGCAGATCTTTGATTGCTTTTTATAAAGGAGTATGGCCTTCCAAATCAAACTTTGTTATATCATATGTAAAAACACATGTATACGACCTTAAATATATGCAAATGTAGATAAAATGATACACACTTGTTGTCAGTTGTTCATTTTAACAGTAATGACAACTTCAAAAGTATGATACATATATTTTACAACTTTTAAACCAAATTGCCTGTTTAAAGGCATTTGTAAGGTTTATTTCCTTCTGAAAAACATTGGCCACAATAAAATTGTTATAAAAAGATGTATACATGTATGGGTCAGAAAAAATAGTCAAAATTATGATTTTCTTCGTGAACCTACTCCTTTATTCACAATTGTGTTCTTCGAGAATATTATCACATGAAAATAAATCGAAGACTGATGCGCCTAAATTCAAAGTGCAAATTCAACAGAAAAAAAAACTTTCAATTTCAATATTTAACTACCCCATCCCCTCCCCTCCCCCCAATTTTTCAACTGTATTAGGCGATTGATTTTGAAGACATGTCGCATCTTCACCAAGTATTATTGATCTGCAACTTATATATTTTTTCCAGTTTTGGCAAAGACTTGAATATCATAAACCTCATTAAATTCGATCCAAAAATAGTCACTAAAGAGGAATACATATTTAAAAAAAAAGTAACAAATTTCATTAACACAAATTAATCCAAATCAGATTTCGATTATTTAAATATTCTAAAATACAGTTATTTTTTGGCAGAAATTTAAAAAAAAATAATTAAGTTTTATCATGGAATTTTTCAAATTTAAGGAACGAGAAACACTTTCTTTTTCATATTTTGAAACGACGGAGTTTTACAAAGTTGTTGATCGATCAACTGTGTCGTAATTGCAAGGTAAGTGGCTCAATAAAAGGGGGCAGAGGGCGTACACCTCCCTTTGATTGGAAAATATGCATTTTTTTTTAGCATATAATCGTCAAAATATTTTAATGGATTTACACACCCTTTGAAAAATACTGGATCCGCCCCTAAAGGTAAGAGAATATTTGAACTGAGCAATATATCTGAGGTAGTTAAAGTACATCGTAACTGTGCATTATCCAAATTATCATCATCATGGTAATCACACGATATAGACAGCTATCACACGAAGCGTTCGGAAATAATCTAAACGTAATAACAACAACAATCAACACCTACACTAGTTTTTCTTTAATTCTAACTAACGAAAGCTATCTGAGCTGAAAGGCTATTTGAACACTGCCTGGTTCGGTTATCCTGCTTATACACAATGAAAGCCAACAATCCTCCAACAAGTTATTACACGTAAGCTCATTTTAATTGTTTAATCTTTGTCGACATTTTAGAATGAAGACGATGCTGAAACGTATGATAAAGCGGAAAAGGAGCTTAAGAACATGAAAAAGAGAATGACCATCTGAAAACTCTTCAGAAGAAACTAAGGAAGGAATTGGAAGATAAGGGACGTCGACTGCGAGAATTAAACAAAGTAGCCATCGAAAGCCAGAATAAATGTAAACAACTTGAAGACCAAACTGAAGATCAGAAAAAGTTATTGAATGTAAAGGAAGAACAAGTTCTGACATTAACAGATGAGTGTGGAAAACTAAAGAAACAAATAGATCAAGTGGAACAAAACTTGAAAGAAAAAGACGAGAAAATAGACACTTTAAGTAAAAACTTGAACGACGTTTTCAAAGAATTACAGAATCAAACTGAAATTACAAAAAACATTTTACGTGACAATGAACAGCATAAAATAGAAGTTTCTGAAATGAAAGAGGGAAACCAGGAACTAAAAAAATTGTGTTCCAGTATATATGAAGAACTCATTTCGAAAAAATCAGAGAGAAAACCAGATGTTTCCAATAACCGACCTGTACCGCAATGGCGAACAGGAACGAAAGGTACACCAAGAAACTGTAAACAATGAAATGATTGAAAGCTATGACAAAACGACTTTAAATTCTATATTTTCGAACGATTCGATTTATATAACCATAGTTTGAAGCTTAACAAAATAAACGATCATTTCATTATAGATTGTTTTAAGCAAGAACAAATATTGAATAGACCTGTATATTGTTGAAGACATTATGTCTGACATGGTTGCCCTCTTTGTATATACTGATTGTCTATCGTTAGGTTTCTGTCTCATTAGTTTATATCCCACATTTTAATTATTTATATCATTAAGCACTCTTTTGTCAAAATGTCTAGATGAATAATATAAGCTGGAAGATCCCAAACATAAAATGAAAATAACACTTCGTAAATTTGGTGTGTTTTTCTGGATATACCGTCACGTTCCATGAATGATCAAACCATGGGAGTATTATATGATCAGATTAACAATCAAAGGCATTGGACACTATGAGTTTACAGTGATTTATTTTACCTTAGATGAGGCTACAGCTGGACTTATATGTCATTGGGACAAACAATTTCCAGGCGTGATTATTAAACTTTACATTTTAATCAACTGAAGCTCAGTCATACTGACATATACACTTGAACATTGCTGGTATTCTTATCTTAGTATCACGTTTGATTATATTAAACAATATTTCACCCTTCATCTGTGGTTTAAAGCACAGTTCAGCAACTAGTTATTACATTAATCAAGTTCAGAATGTTCCCATGTTCAAACAGGATTACAATAGATATTTCAACCATACAACATTGATACTAGAGCCTCCTCATTACAACATGGACCCAAGAGTATGTCCAGATTCTATTTCCATGTAAACATTATTTCTCCAACCATTCAATCAGTACCATTTTTAGAATATTGATTACAAAGCAGCACTACTGTGAGCCTCATCAGTGCCCTAGGAGTCCAAAAGTATGTGATTCCGAACCAAATTGTAAACCTACTTTGGACGCTGCTATTTCAAGCATACTTGAATCCTTAGAATCTGACAACATACACCTTTAAGATAGACTGTTTCACATATAAAATCCGCTTATACTTTAAGAATATTATAAAGAGATTGTATTATACATTGTATAGGTGTTTTATTCCTTTTTACAATTATCTTATTATTTAAAGCTAGAGACAGTATGTTTTATTGATCTATAAGCTGTGGAGGAGTAACTGATAAACTGAAGGTGTTTAATACATTAATATTTTGGATTACAATGATATTTACTGTAGAGTATACATGCTTATCATTGAATGTCATTTCATACCATTCTCATAATTTGAATACTGAATATCTTTTGTATAGCATTTTCATCATTGAATATTGAATATCTGTTTTATAGCATTCTCATGTTTGAAACTTTGAATACTGAATATCTTTTGTATAGCATTTTCATCATTGGATACTGAATATCATTTGTAAAGCATTTTCATCATTGGATACTGAATATCATTTGTAAAGCATTTTCATCATTGGATACTGAATGTCATTTGTAAAGCATTTTCATCATTGGATACTGAATATCTGTTTTATAGCATTTTCATCATTGGATACTGAATATCATTTGTATAGCATTTTCATCATTGGATACTGAATATCATTTGTACAGCATTTTCATCATTGGATACTGAATATCATTTGTACAGCATTTTCATCATTGGATACTGAATATATTTTTTATCGCATGTTTGAAACTTTGAATATTGAATATCATTTTCATAGCATTATCATAATTTGAATACTGAATTATATATTTTACAGCATTCTCATGTTTGAAGCTTTGAATATTGAATATCATTCTCATCATTGGATACTGAATATCATTTTTATAGCATTCTCATGTTTGAAGCTTTGAATATTGAATATCATTCTCATCATTGGATACTGAATATCATTTTTATAGCATTCTCATTATTGAATACTGAATATTATTTTCTGGCATTCTCGTCATTGAATACTGAATATCTTATTACAGCATTCTCATGTTTGAAACTTTCAAAATATATATATTTTTATAGCATTCTCATTTTTGCATATTGAATACAATTTTATAACATTCTCATGACTGAATACTGTATATCATTTTTTATGGAATCACAAAATTGAATACTGAATATCATTTCTATAGCATCATACGTTTGAAATACTGAGTACTATTTTTATAGAGCATTCTCATGTTTGAATACTAAAAAAGTATGCACAAGTTTTGTTAAAGAAATCTCAACATTAGCTTCTAGTGTTTAAATACTAAATACTATTAACTATTAGATATTGTAAATTAGTATGTAAACATATATATATTTATCTATTTTTTTTTCTCATGACTTTATTGAAGGTGAATTATCCAAACTCCTAAATCCCTGGGGCACTCATCTGTTCCATCTGAGTTTTTGGACCTTGATGGAATTTTATAACTGGTCATTTCTAAAATTTCATTCACCCCCCAAGCACTTCTGAGACAAATTTTATTAAATTTATTCCAGCGCTAGTTTGATAGACCCCTGCTACTCTACTAGCACATGGGCTATCCCCATGCAGACCTTGCACACCCCGGCTGCAGATGAGATGTTTAGTCTCGTCTCCTCGTGGAGACCCTTTGCTCCACATTCCCTGGCTGGCGCATTGTCGGGAAGGCATGTTCTTCTTCACACTGAAGGTTGCAAGATAACTTGCTCAGGCAGGAACTCAAAATTCTATTTGTATACTGAGTGTTTCTCAAGGGCCAAAGCCAGTTTGATTTAGTATTATTAATAATAAAATCATTATTCATTCTACATATATTTCTGCTTTGAGCCAGTATGATTTGCTGAAACTATGTTTTGGTTTACATACAGAAACGTGCTTTAGTTTGTTTGGAGCTGGTATTTGGTCTACAATGAACAATTATGTGAGTTGTTGTCGTGACTTTATTGAGATTTGCTCTATCAGGAGAGTTTTACTTGAACTAAATATTGGACTTCATGACTTCTCGTCAATATACACAGAACATAATTTACCTGAAATTACAGCTGTTAAAATACAGGTTGATGTGATCATAAATTAAGCATTTCATTTCATCAATGGAAGGTTTGCATAATGAAACTTTGGTCATTGGGATAGGTAAATAAAATATATATCAAAATATTTAGTAAGCCTGCCGTTGGTGAACTGGAATATTTTGCTCACTGACACTAGACATTTAAAAAAGGAGTATTTGCATACACTCGACAATAACAAAATATTAAACAACTACCTCCTAAAACTATAGAAATTGTATTCCCACTATATGGGACTTCGGAAAATATACAATATGAGACTACAAGAAAAATACAATATGAAACAACAGACTACATACATCATGTTGGTAGAAATATATTCACAATTTTTAAGCACGATTACAAGCTACAGTAAAGTCATTCATATGAGTTGTGTTGAAAAGCTGTATTTTGTTCTTTTAGTCTTGTCATTTGATTGAAACTCTTTGAACTGGCAATCACACTCATATTCTGTTAGGGGTGTCATCTGACCATGACCCCATTTTCATGGTTCATTGGTCAATTTTAAGTTTTTGTGTTTTGATCTGTTTTTCAAGTACTACTAGCAATAGCAATAGGTCAACTATAATTGGTGTATGGAATAATTGTAAGGTGTACATGTCTGTCTAGCCAGTATCATCTGACCTTGACCTCATTTCCATGGCTCATTGGTCAACATTAAGTTTTTGTGTTTTGGTCTGTTTTTCAATTACCCTTAGCAATGGGTCAACTATATTTGGTGTATGGAATAATTGTAAGGTGTACATGTCTGTGTGACAGTTTTCATCTGACCTTGACCTCATTGTTATGGATCTTTAAAAATGTTAAGTTTATGTGATACTTGTAGTAAAGTCTTTATCTTTAAGACCTTCAACATAAAATCAATGGTCAGTAAAACAGGCAAGACATTTCAGCGTGTGCACTCTTGTATTTGTATGTTGTCTCATAAAACAACGTAAGGGCAATTTACGTGCAAAAGTGTAGAATTCGGTAACCCTTTTTTTTGTTTTTTTTATAATGCTAGATTTCGTTATCAATCTTTTTTTTTTTAAATGCTGATACCCCCTCTCTGCAAAAAATGTTGCACACTGTATACATGTATGTGCAATAAAAGTATGTTTCTACAAGTAATTAAACTTTGAAAGGTACTAATCTGGTTCACACTTTAGGCACAAAGACATCGTTAAGGTTTTGCCATTATCTATTTATATATTAAAGAGAATAAAAGATGCAACCATATGCTTGGATTGTCTATCCGTGTCATCGTTGTTATAAACTGATATATCGGAAGAAAAGGTGTGGTTTTAAATCAGATGGCCTAGTGCAGCACACAATAACATTTCTGATTTATTTAATTCTGAAAATTACATTTAACCGTTCTTTAAAGGATTCTAAATATGACCTAATGAATGTTTTTCCGTAATTATTCGGCAATAAATCGTTGTTGCCTTCTGTTCCTATATAAGTAAATTGTCAAAAGGAATGGTTACCAGAGACATATATATATATCTGCGGTTACGAACCACATACCATGGTTATTTCAATTATTACCAAATATTTTTTTCATTGTATTAATATCACTTTTCTAACAATAATATCAAACAGTATTCCATGACATATAAAAAAGTAAAATAACAAAAATACCAAACTCCAAGGAAAATTCAAAATCGAAAGCTCATACACATAAAAAAAAGGAAAACAACAGTCATATTTCTGACTTGGTACAGGCATTTCCTTATGTGGAAAAAGGTGGATTAGACCTGGTTTTATAGCTAGCTAAACCTCTCACTTGTAGCAAAACAAACAGACATAATAGGTAAAAAGGTAAAATAATTTGGGTACAGCAGTCATCATTGTGTTATAATCTTAACCACTATAAAACAAATAAGTAATTAAACAAAGCAAAACAAAATGGTATATAGACACTCTATAGACAAAGTACATAAGCAAAAATGAAAGACAATTATTGCCCCACCCTTTGTGTTTAATATTGTTCTTTGATCATGACAGCTGTCAATCATTTTGATATACTCTTACTTAATCAAAAAGACAAAACTAGCCAGTAAATTGAAAAAAGTAAAGACTATTATTCTTGAAAAAATGATCTTAATTAAGATGTAACCAAATTTTGTACAGTTCATTTCTACTTTCTGTTTGGGAGGCCGGTGTCTTAGGAAAGAATTGGAACAATTCCAATCTTTCCAAAAATGGACATAACGGTAAAGGTTAAAATATACAAAGGCAAATAAAAAGAACACTATAACACGTGATTAAGATGTACATGTCTGTCTGGCAGGGTTCATCTGACCTGACCTCATTTAGATGGCTCATTGGTTAATGCTAAGGTTTTGTGTATGAGTTCGTTTCTAGGCTTTATTCAACTATATTTGGTGTATGGAATGGTTGCAAGGTGTAAAAGTCTGTCTGGCAGGGTGCATCTGACATTGACCTCATGTTCATGGTTCTTTGGTTAATGTTAAGTTTTCATGGTAAGGTCTGTTTCTTGGGTACTGTAAGCATTAGGTTAACTATATTAGCTTCATGGGATGATAGTAAGGTGTTCGTGTTCGTCTGAAAGGGTTCATCTGACTTATACTTCATTTACATGGATCATTGGTAATGCTAATTGCATGTAGAATTGTTGTATAACCTTTTCCAAAGACTTTCAACATAATTTCAATCATTATCAGTAAAGTGCACTCTTGTTCATAAACAGGAAAACTCTTGTGTTTGCGTAAAACTATAAACATCATTATCTGATAATTAATTTGTCTAGAAAGTCTATGGTTCATTAATAAGCCATTGAAAAATACACCATTAATGATGGAAATTATTCCTGGGTTTGAGTCTTAACGCAACTATAATTTGTATATTTAAATGTATACAACTCTTCAATTAAATTTGAAAACAAAATTAGAATAAAAAGGGTCAAAGATAAATTTCCAGTTAAGTGGGAAAATTCTATACAAGGTTGTTTATTTTTCAATTTGAAGTGTTTACAATCTTTTTAATTTTTGCTTTCTTCTCATTTCCATAATCAATTGGAAGTCTACACACAAAAATATTGATCTACTAAACAACTAAAATGATCAAAACATTTTGTACATATATCATTAAATACATATACAAAGAGCAATTAACAAAAGGGAACTGAAAACACTAAAGACAAAAAGTTAAATGACACCTAGACCTATGCATTTGGGGGATAAACTTAGAATCATAATTTAGCCATTTACAGTTGTGTTTGTCATTATGTGCTTATGAAAGCCCCAGGAAAAACAGAATATTTTAATCACTTTTCTGTATTTTTAGGATCACTATTTGTCAATGTTACAGTGAAACATATATATAAATATACATTATTGTGTCATTTTCTTTTTCTTTTCATTTTATTCATAAATTTAATTGTAACCAAATCATTGTAATTATTTGTACCAAATTTAACTTGTTTTTTATGCCCCACCTAGGGGCATTATGTTTTTCGGTCTGTGCATCCGTTCGTTTGTCCGTCTGTCCCGCATCAGGTTAAAGTTTTTGGTCAAGGTAGTTTTTGATGAAGTTGAAGTCCAATCAACTTGAAACTTAGTACACATGTTCCCTATGATATGATCTTTCTACTTTTAATGCCAAATTAGAGTTTTGACCCAAATTTCACGGTCCACTGAACATAGAAAAAGATAGTGCAAGTGGGGCATCCGTGTACTATGGACACATTCTTGTTCATATAATGGGCGTCTTTAATTGACAATTAAACATTGAACTTAAACTTGAACATATCTGGACTTACATCTATATTTTTACATTGAGGATCTAATGAAAATTAAACTTTATGACAAAAGATATGATTACAGCTTCCAAACTTATCATTTCTATACAACAACATTCCTGCAATGCCTGCATATGGAATAAAGATCTCCAAGCTGATACAATATTCAAGAGCTTACGTTTCCTTTCATGATTTTCTTTTAAAACAGAGGGAAGTGCTTATAAGGGAAGAATTGAACCAAGGGTTCCTAGTAATAAAGTTGAAGTCATCCCTTAAAATTTTGTTGTTGTGGAATTTCAGTGTCACAGATGACCACAGATATGTGTCAATTGTTTTAGCCATAATTCCGTCCTCTTTTCGTCGATTGTGACCTTTCTGAATGAGACTTTTCACCAAAAAATGAATATTTTAGTTTCTACCTATTTAATATACTTTTTGAAATAAAAGGCAAAACCATCAAAATTTGCTAAAAATTATCGTTTAAAGGCAATTTCTACTTCAGGAATCATCTTCTAATTTTGGTGAAAATAGAAGTAGATCTCCACATTCTGAGCATTATCGCCGATATAAGATTTTCCCTATCTTTAAAGTTTGCAAGATTTAAGACAATTAATGCATTTTACCATTATATTCTTTTTTTAGCCAAAGCGCCCATGTTTGTTGACTGATTGAGAAAATACACAACTTAATACAAGACCCCTAAAGGATCATAAACCCCAAGTTTTCTTGAAATTAGTTATTGTTTCAGAGGAAAATTTCTATGATAAAGTAAAAGATGGATACACAAATGTATGTTAATGTATGATATAAACGAACTCATAATTTTGGACCAATAATCAAAAAATTTACCCATTAGGTCTCTATGTTACTTCTATTTTCTTTAATATAAAATACTTGATGGAGTAAGTATGAATAGTGTAACAGCCTTCCATTCAAAACAAAAACATTAGACATGTGCTTTAAACCTGTTTCGTTGTGCCATGTGACTTAACTCATTTAAATATCAAAGGACACTATACATGTCATCAAAAATGACCATCATCTAAGTTTTTTTTATAACTGGTTTTTATACGATTTTATAAATGAACTTGCATGTATCTACAAAGATGTTATTTGTGGGAAAAATATTATAATCAGATGTTTTTTTAAAATTTTTATTCCTTACCAAATCTTCATTTTTGTTACCTTAATTTGATTATATATTTATATATATCTTATAAAAGAATATAAGCAAGCTTTTAATGCTTAAAGCATGATGACAGTATTAACAAAATGGAGAGGCTCAAAAAAGTTTTATCAATAAGTATTTACAGAATACATTCAATATTTACTTTTCATAAACATATGAAGGTATAAATACTAAAAAAAATATTTTTTATATTATTCATTTTCACAAAATTTCATTTCTAAACTGAAATTTGCCTAAAACTACTTTGGTGTGTTTAAAAATGTTATACTAGTAATGTCCAGTGGAACATATTACTGAGAATACTCATAGAAATAGAACAATGAAAAATACAAATTCATGTATACAGAAAGTTCAGTAATCACATGACATAAAACTTAAATGAAGTCCAAGTTTGTTGCTGGTCAGAGTAACTCAAATGAGAAAAGTCACATGGTACAATGAAACAGGTCTAAAGCACATGTCTAATGTTTTTGTTTTGAATGGAAGGCTGTTACACTATTCATACTTACTCCATCAAGTATTTTATATAAAAAAAATAGAAGTAACATAGAGACCTAATAGGTAACTTTTTTGATTATTGACCCAAAATTATGATATTCATAGTCAGAGTTCGTATATATCATACATTAACATACATCAAGAAAAAAAATGTTTATTTGTAAGAATTATTTTTTGAAGATTTATAGAAGTCAAACGGACTATAATGTTTTAGAGGTTTTCCATGTTGAATAAATCAAAATTATTTTCTCCATTGAAACAAACATGTTAACTATTTATTAAATTTATTCAGCTTGACTTTGGTAGCCTATAAACTCCTCCGGCATATAATAGTTTTTGTTCTTTAACTTTTCTATCTAGAAATCCTTTTAGCTCTTGTGTACTGCATTCCATGGTAGTTGGTCCTTGCATTGCAAACATTCTCAACATTGTGTGTATTCTTTCTAAAGGAAGGCTTTCTAAATTAGTCAACATTCCCACTATATATGACCAGAATACCTAAAAGAAAAATTACATAAATTATAATAGTTTTGAAAAAAAAAAATTTTTTAAATCTTGTATTTCAAAAAGGCTGTTCTAATAAAATATACATGGTACCAAGGAAAAGCACTTTGAAAAAGGGGAAACCACCTAAAGAGGTAATTTTAGAATATCACTTGCATTTTCGCTTTAAAAAATGTATATGACATCAACCCCTAGTTGAGATGTTGAAGTGCCTCCCCTGGGTCCCATGTATGTGTCTATAGAATAGCCCTTATATACAAGAGTGCACATGCTGAAATGTCTCGCCTTCTTTACTAATCATTGATATTATGTTGATAGTCCTAAATATAAAGCTTTACTACAACTATCACATACACTTGACATGATCCAAGAAAATGAGGTCAAGGTCATATAAACCAAACAAGAAATACATGTACACCTTACAATCATTCAATACACTAAATACAGTTGACCTATTGTTTATAGTTTCTAAGATACAGACTTAACCAAGAAAACTAAACATTGACCAATGAACCATGAAAATGAGGTCAAGGTCAGATGAACCATGCCAGGCAGACATGTACAGCTTGCAATCCTTCCATACAACAAATATAGTTGACCTATTGCTTATAGTATTAGAAAAACAGACCAAAACACAAAAACTTAACACTGAGCAATGAACCGTGAAAATGAGGTTAAGGTCAAATAAAACCTGAAAGACTGACATGTACATCGTAAAATATTTCCATACACCAAATATAGATGACCTATGAACCATGAAAATGAGGTCAAGGTCAGATGAACCATGCCAGACAGACATGTACAGCTTGCAATCCTTCCATACAACAAATATAGTTGACCTATTGCTTATAGTATTAGAAAAACAGACCAAAACACAAAAACTTAACACTGAGCAATGAACCGTGAAAATGAGGTCAAGGTCAAATAAAACCTGAAAGACTGACATGTACATCATAAAATATTTCCATACACCAAATATAGATGACCTATTGCATATAGTATTAGAAAAAAAGACCAAAACTCAAAAACTTAACTTTGACCACTGAACCATGAAAATGACGTCAAGGTCAGAAGACACATGCCAGCTAGACATGTACACCTTACAATCATTCCATACACCAAATATATTAGACCTATTGCATACAGTCAATAAGAAAAAAAGACCAAAACACAAAAACTTAACTATAACCACTGAACCATGAAAATGAGGTCAAGGTCAGATGACACCTGCCAGCTGGACATATACACCTTACAATCATTCCATACACCAAATATAGTAGACCTATTGCATACAGTATAAGAAAAACAGACCAAAACACAAAAACTTAACTATAACCACTGAACCATGAAAATGAGGTCAAGGTCAGATGACACCTGCCAGTTGGACATGTACACCTTACAGTCCTTCCATACACCGAATATACTAGACCTATTGCTTATAGTATCTGAGATATGGACTTGACCACCAAAACTTAACCTTGTTCACTGATCCATGAAATGAGGTCGAGGTCAAGTGAAAACTGTCTGACAGGCATGAGGACCTTGCAAGGTACGCACATACCAAATATAGTTATCCTATTACTTATAATAAGAGAGAATTTAATATTACAAAAAATCTTAACTTTTTTTTCAAGTAGTCACTGAACCATGAAAATGAGGTCAAGGACATTGGACATGTGAATGACAGAAACTTCGTAACATGAGGCATCCATAAACAAAGTATGAAGCATCCAGGTCTTCCACCTTCTAAAATATAAAGCTTTTAAGAAGTTAGCTAACGACGCCGCCGCCGCCCCCGCCGGATCACTATCCCTATGTCCCAAAGGTCGCAGGCTCAACAAAAACTGTTATCCAGCTTGTTTAGCTAAGGGAAGCTAAAATTGCAAAGTTTTGGTATATTTCTACAAAATGTATACATATACTCATCTATAATTTCCAGATGTTAGTGACATCTAAATTTCAGTTATTCCCTTATATTGTTACAGATAAGAGCAGGCAGTAATATTCTACAGTAAAATTGTTTGAAAGTTAAATGGTGGCAGTTAGCGAAACAAAAACAAAATTTGACTACACCTTTCAATCATAGCGCATTGATCATTTGACGATGGCAGAAGATATTTTTTAACAATGGTGGTGCACTATCATAAAACAGGTCATGGAGATCCCTGATAATGCGTTCTTCCATTTTCATTTTAAGCATTTCAGATGTATATATACAAAAGCATTTGTTAAAATATACTTTTTCACTTTTTGGGTCTTTTGGAAAATGTTGTTTGTGCTGTATTTAGACCCCTCTACCAAGAAATTTGTTTTGCATGCACACCTATAAAAATTGCGGCTTTTATCCAACGCAATCATAGGTTTGAACATTATTTTCAATTTAGACTTGTTTATATTTTTTCGTTTGGGCTTGTATTATATTTGCCTTCGGGTTTATATAATCCGTTCATCCTATTTCGACTCTTCAAAATTCAAGAGTCTATCCTAAATTGAGGTAAATTATATGGCCTTCCAAATACCGTTTCGATTCCTAACATCACTGAAGAGACATTACTTGTCGAAATCTGGATATGGTGTACCAATTTTTGCACCTCATGTTTGCACTATACCATCTTTTCTGCAAGTTTATTGTTTTCTGTTTGGTATTAAATCAATAATTAAGATTCATTTTGTTACATCTGGTGATCCGTTTATTTGGCAATCACCATAGCAGTCAGCAGGGTTTAAAAACATCTGTTGTTCGACCTGCTAGTCAAATGCGTTTTGTTAAAATATACTTTTTCACTTTTTTGGTCTTTTGGAAAATGTTGTTTGTGCTGTATTAAGACCCCGATACAAATAAATATATATAGTGTCTAAATATAGCAACAATCAACATTTAATCAATCTAGGCTTGGATCAGTTTGTAGATAAATTGATGCAGTTACTAAATTAAATTATATAAATGTCTAAGAATGTAACTTTTACACACTAATGAAATATATACATACACTTTGATTTCTTATTAAAATTATTTGGGGGTGGGTTCTGAATGAAAGTGAGGTCTAACCATATTTCTCATTTCTACCTTTAATAGCTCCTACAAAGACTCTTGAAAATTCAGTTCAAATGTGATGAGATAATTAGTCTGTAATTCCTCCTCCCTCAGTGACTGAGCTGAGGCCTCACAAAGTTTAAAACATATAATGAGATAACTGACCTGTAATTCCTCCTCCCTCTGTGACTGAGCTGAGGCCATGGCTGATTCTGTCTCATCATCGTCAGTAACAATAACATCATGTGTTCTGCCCTTATGTTCTTCCACTAACAGAAACGTGTCTGTTGTTTCCTCCTTGAGTAAACCCTGTGTTTGCCAGTAGGCTATCTTTCTCCTCAATGCTGTTGCTGGCATTTGTAACTCATTGCTCAAGTCTTCAACTGTCCATTTTTCTATAAAAAGCAAGACATTAAAATCAAAATTGCACTATGATCAGCCAGAAGCTGCTGTCGAATTAATACATAACTTAAGATCCTAGCCTCCTGCAGCATTTTTAAGATATGAATATTTAAAAAACCAGACACTTTTTATTCAAATATTAATATTATTTTTTGTTCATTGGAAAAAATCAAAAGAATACATGCTCCAATTTAAAAAAAATATGTTCTTCATGCCTCGAAATGCCTCAAAAAGTTCTTATCAGCAATTTTTCAGTGAATCATGACTAACTGCAGGTACCCCAATATACAAAAGGCACAAAAGATCAGTAAAAAAAAAAACCTTACCGATGTATCCTATCAAATACATTCAGATTTCTATTTCATGTAAACTAACAATGTTATGTTACAATCTCATTGATATTTATCATGTTTATCCCACATCTTCTTTTACTCATAAAAACTGTACATACCTTGTTTCTGAAACTGCATAATAATGGCAGCATGAACCGGAGACACGTTAAAGTTTATTGTTCTATCTTTAAGCTCTATATCAATGTTAACAAGACCTGCAAATAGAAAATAATGTTTTACAACTGACATTATTTGTTGTCAACATAGTCTTTTACTGAATCTAGACCTACAACTAATCTTTCTGATACTAGTGATTGGTGCAGTTGATTAATCTCAAATTGGACATATTTTTATTGGTCTCTTGAAAATACCCTTGTCTAGACAAAACAGTCTGTTTCCTGTCATTACATGTTTTGATATTGCTAGCTGATAAAAAATTATACCTGAATTATTTCAATGATTTCATGAATTATGATTATTTCAATATTTTTTGTATGTTTGGCTTAGCAGCTAGGTATACTATCATGCAGTTTATTGCAAGTTTTCATCATTCTGTTAAAAAACACAGTTCCTAAAAGAACTTACCAACAAACAGATTTTTGCATAAATTTTGAAGTTAATTTTCACAAGAAGTAGAAAAGCTACCTTACCTAAATGTGGTTTCCAGTTTAACGTTCTATTTCCCTTCAGAGCCTCAAATTTCTTTGTGTATTCCTTCAGTGATTCCTGCATTACTTCTGGAAGAGTTATCTTCTCTTCCCTGAATGCTGGCCAAAATTGAGCTGATAAAACCATTGCATTTACATCAATTTCCTATAACAAAACAAGTTTTACATTTTAAAAATTCTAGTGAGATTAAAAATTTAAATTTCAATGTTTCAGCACAAAATAGCAGATTACTCAAAACACCAAAAGAAAAGTGTGAAGTATTCATACAGCTTTGGCCTAAAATCATCGGAAAACTCTTTACATTTTTTGAGATTGTGGTTAATGATAATGTGAGTGGAGTCTATTAATTTTTATTTTGAACCTCAAATTCATTCTTGTTCAAGAATTTTATCTAGTAATCTACACTAATAGAATATTTTTATTTTGAACCAAGTAATGATTATGGACAAATTGACTAAAGTTCAAATGCCCCCTAAAATTTCTTACTTCTTGATTTGAAAAAGATTTTGTGACTTATTTTTTTGTGTTCATTTTACCACAGACCTACATAAACTTAATAGCAAGAAGTCTCTGAACAAAGAAGAAGATACTTTTGGCCTACAAAATTATTTGATAGGATAACTTACCCCTCTTTCAACACTTTTATTTATAGCTTCAGTGACTAGGGTGAACTTACCCCTCTTTCACCACTTTTATTTCTAGCTTCAGTAACTAGGGTGTACTTACCCCTCTCTCACCACTTTTATTTCTAGCTTCAGTGACTAGGGTGTACTTACCCTTCTTTCACCACTTTTATTTCTAGCTTCAGTAACTAGGGTGTACTTACCCCTCTCTCACCACTTTTATTTCTAGCTTCAGTAACTAGGATGTACTTACCCCTCTCTCACCACTTTCATTTCTAGCTTCAGTTACTAGGGTGTACTTACTCCTCTTTCACCACTTTTATTTCTAGCTTCAGTAACTAGGGTGAACTTACCCCTCTCTCACCACTTTTATTTCTAGCTTCAGTGACTAGGGTGTACTTACCCCTCTTTCACCACTTTTATTTCTAGCTTCAGTTACTAGGGTGTACTTACTCCTCTTTCACCACTTTTATTTCTAGCTTCAGTAACTAGGGTGTACTTACCCCTCTCTCACTTCTTTTATTTCTAGCTTCAGTAACTAGGGTGTACTTACCCCTCTCTCACCACTTTTATTTCTAGCTTCAGTGACTAGGGTGTACTTACCCCTCTTTCACCACTTAAATTTTTAGCTTTAGTGACTATATAGTACCTACCCCTCTTTCACCACTTTTATTTCTAGCTTCAGTTACTAGGGTTTACTTACCCCTCTTTCACCACTTTTATTTCTAGCTTCAGTAACTCTGGTATTCAGTCTTTTGGAATCAGCTACATCTTTCAACATCACTTCACAAAAATGTAATTGTGTCTCTCCAAATCTTAATTTAAGTAGTTCTAAGTAGCGAATCTCTTTCTCAATTTCATAATTAAATTGAGTGAGGATTCTATCTGCTAGTAAAGTTCTGTATTCATTAACAAATAATTCCTTACTTCCGTAAATGTTGACAAGCATACTTATAATATCTGAAGCTCTTCTACTCTTGGATGTGGTAGCTATAAAAGACATAAAAAGGTTTTTATATGCTATACTATTTATTATCTTGAAGAAAAAAAATGTAGGGAGGATATCAAAAGCTGATGCTCTTACAATAATTAAGGGTAAATGTTTTCTAAAAAGAGTTGAATTCCGTTTACCACTAACTTAATACTCATTGTTACTATGCATGTAAGGGCTGTTTCATAAACACAGGCATGGCAAAAAGGAAAAGGAATTTTAAAATAGAGTAGCCACCCATAGACATAATTTTAGAGAGCTGTATACATTTTAAACCTGTACAACATAATATTTCATTCCCAACTATAATAGCAAATTCAAGTTGACTTTCCCTGGTCCCATGCATATGTATATTTTCATGGAACAGCCCTGAGAAGATATAATGATAATCCAACAACACAATTGATCTGGAGGCCAACATATTAGTCTCCAATGTTATACAAGGGTTTTTATACCTTTAATATAACCTATAAATCAAGTTTAGATAGATAGTGACTAAAGGTAAAAGAGACAACAAAAGATTTGATATCAACATGATCAACATCTAACTCCTCAATGGATAAAAACACTTATCATCCACAAAAAATCAACTGAAGAGGCTCTTGACATGGAGTGGGCTCATTAATATGTGGCAGGGTTAAACCAAACTTCTGGGAAGTCCACTTAAGGCATTCCAACCCCTGCCTTTCATGTCTACCAGATAAAATTTGTGTTATAAAGGTTATCTAGTTTTGAGGTGATGACATTTTTTCTTCAAAGTAAATAAGTACTTCATTACAATTCAAAATCAGAATTTGCTTATTAAGAAAATTTTAATAAAGGGCTATGCACAGGTTTTTATTCCATAAGGCTGGATTCCACTAAGATATATTAGGCCTGACAACCAAAAGTCAACTTAATTAACTTTGATCCAACTCTGTTTATAATTTTTTTTAAATTAATATATAATACAATTTTTTTCCTGATTTTTTCTTCTTCATTATTTTACCTAAAAGCTAATCATGAACATGAAACAAACTAGATTTCTAGTTATATTAATTAACATTTAGGTTCTGAACACCTATAATTATATGACTTATAATACACAAGCATCTATAAGGTCAGACATCCTTTCTCCCATCCTTGACTGATAATGGTACACTTACATGGATCAGCATCTACAGGATCAGGCATCCATTTCTCCCAATCTTCATCTTCATTATCACTATGTCCTGTCTCATCAAGTAGTAATGGCTGTCCTTTAATCAACTCATCTAATAATTCATTACTTCCATCATCAGTTAAATTAGAAACTATACATCTGACTGTATCATCACGGGACCTAAAATCAATGGTTTATAGTTAATAATTAAAAAACTACCATATGTCAATCTGATGAGTCAAGCCTTTTTCAACTGAATTTTACAATTTGTTCTAATGTTGTGTTGTTACACCAGTGTCCAAGGTTAGGGGAGGGTTGAGAGGTCACACACATGTTTAATCCCACAACATTATGTGAGTGTCTGTCCGGTCAGGAATCTATAATTTAGTGGTTGGAGACTGTCTATCCTATTTGCTTTTCTTTGTTTTGTACATAAATCAGGCATTGTTTTTTCTGGTTTGAATTGTTTTTAATTTTGTCATGTTTGGGTTTTCTATCAGTATGGCTTTTGCTCATTGTTTAAAATCTTACAGCAACCTATAGTTGTTTCATCCACATCATTTAAACTCTGTTGTACAGTTGTTGCATTGGCAATCATACCACGTCTCCTATTTTTACATATAAATAGCACATGAGGAACTTATGTTTAAACTTTTTCTGTACTAAAAGATTTCCAAACATTATGTAAGCATAATTTTTCATTGCATCTCAAATATTTGTGATTATGTTTAATATAGTATGGTGTTTATGTTATCAAGAACAACTATTTCCTTGCAATAACTTCATCCTTGTGAAAAAATTGTAACAAGTTTAATTACAAAAGGAAAGCCAACTATTGAAATTCAGGCTGTGTGTCTGAAAAACCAGCCAAAGGTGACATACAAGTTCAAGAATAACTCCAGACTAGTTGTGCTTCAGAGATTTTCTGACTAGGTGAAAAATAATTATCACTGACATTATTTGTCACCTCGTCAAAAACTTTTTGAGGTACAGCTATTTCTGGAATAATTAATTATATACCATACCTTAAGTATTTTCTGACAGGGTGGCAAACAAGTTCTAGGATAACACCAGCCGGATCTAAAACTCGAAGAGCTCTGATAGCAGCAATGTAAGCTGTTAATATATCTGATGTGTTTACACCTGAAAAAAGAATCAGTCATCAATACAGATATACAAAATAAAGGAATTTTATTCATTTTTAGAAAGAACACATTGATATTAATTTCTCTAAATTATTTGGCAGCACAAAAATAAGTCATTCACCTCAAATTTTTCAATCAAAAGTCACTTTTGATACTTTACCATACATAAGAAACAAACAAAAAATTACCATATAGATTTATATTTATTTGCATAAAACAAGAAGTTACTTTAATAAGAAATTCCTTTTTGAATCCAGAAACATTTACCATAAAACATAAATCAGTCAAATAAGCAATGTTGAAATTATGACATTTTTACTATCATAAGCTTTTCAAAGATACAAAATATGAGGATTTTTTACTTAATAAGGGTATATCATTTGTTTTAAAATATGTTTAGTCCTAAACTATTGCAGGAAAATACATGCACCAGGTTAGGGGGAGTGTTGAGAAATCACAAACATGTTTAACCCCACCACATTCATTATTTGTCCATCCTAAGTCAGGAGCCTGTTGGTCAGTAGTCGTTGTTGGTTCAAGTCTTTCATATTTCTTTTTGTAAATTGTTTTGTTATAAATTAAGATGTTAGTTTCCTCATTAGGCTGAGTACACAGTTATCGTCCTTTGATTTTCGTTGTCCACGAATAAAGTCCCTAGTGTGGACAGTGTGTTGCTTGCCAATTTTTTTAGTACCCCTTCCAAATGTATTCCTTCATGTTTTATGCCTCAAATAGCAAGTAGGGGGCTGAAATTACACTGTAAAAAAATTTGGGTCATGAATTGTAAAGTAAAGTAGTGATTTGGTCCAGCTGAAAAAGGTTAAAAATTAGCACTTCGGAAGCTGTCAAAAGATTTCAAGACCCCCTTAACATAGAATTGTCCATATTTTGAGTTAGAGCCGATGAAGTTTTCTATAATTTTGATATAATTTGTCCCAAAAGTAGTACAACACACTGTAAAAATATTATTGAGAAAGCGCAGGTGGGATTTTTTTTATTTTCATTTATTGTCTAAAAGAAATGCACTACGAAATAACTGTGTACTCGGACCTAAGAGGCGAAATCAGTAAATATAGAATCTGTACTTTGGCAACTTCCCTGAATGATATAATGGTGTCAATTTGTCAGATAGCATGAAACTAAAGGATTTAAACTTTTATTTGATAGAAATTCTGCAAAAATTACCCATTTTGGCATTATATGGTCAAAATAAGCATTTCAAAGCTTTTTCAATTTTGATGCATAAGTGGCATTCTAACTTTCTATGTGACAGGTTTTCCTGTGTCAATATTTGTGTTTCTATGCTTTAACCCAGTTGTATTACTCATTTGTGAACTCTGAATCTACAGAAAATAAGATTATCTCAGACAATATGTGCAAAATGTGTTGTATAAATGACCCTCGTGTAACGGCCTGTTTGGATCAAGTTAAATGTGAGGACCTAGGTAAATAAAAGTTGAAGTCCATAATAAAGATTTCACTAAATTTGTATTAAAAGCACTTCACAATGTCTTTTGTACCTGTTTCATTTCACATAGTATCTTTCTTTTCTTATGTTAAATAGCAAGTGGTTCAAATATAAGCCTGCTGAGGCTAAAATTGCATGCAAGTTTTTCACTAAAAAGTGAAAAATCTTTGTCAGAGACCATACTGTCTGCAAAAAAAGTTGAATGCAAGAGTCCTTTTATGCTCAGATTTATTGTATCATGTAACCTGAGTATAGAAATTATAAAAAAGACACAAATTTTTATTTCCTATAGCTTCAGTATGCATTTTTAAATGTAAATATGTGCTACGGCCTAAATTGACCCTAAATTATTTTCAGTCTTACTTGGCTTAAGACCCTTTTATACTAATATGGTATGCTATTTGTAATTTTTTTTTCCATTTAAAGTACATTTAATACATATGTAAGGATTATTTATAACCAAAAAACTCCACAAATTTCAAATTGCTGGAAAATAATACATCTTCATGTAAGGCCCCCCTTCTTTGGAAAACCTCCATTTTTTGGCACAGGCTCATATAAATTTGACTTTTAAATAATTGTGATAAGTCTGATAAATCAAATGAGTATTCTATTGCTTTAAATACATAATATGTCATATATTAAGGCCTTTAAAATGTAATTTTTTGCAATATTTTAATTTTTATAGCCCCAAATGTTGATAGTTGAAATTTTTCAATTTAAACGTCATAATTTAACACGCGAAGTTGAATATAGAATTTATCATATTGTCTATAATATATATCCTATTGCCATGAAACTTTGTCAGCAGTCTCATAATTTATTAAGCTTTAGTCATACCAAGTTTTATTAAGATTGGCCAAATTTTTCTATCCTATTAGGTCCGAGTACACAGTTATCGTCCTTTGATTTTCGTTGTCCACGAATAAAGTCCCTAGTGTGGACAGTGTGTTGCTTGCCAATTTTTTTAGTACCCCTTCCAAATGTATTCCTTCATGTTTTATGCCTCAAATAGCAAGTAGGGGGCTGAAATTACACTGTAAAAAAATTTGGGTCATGAATTGTAAAGTAGTGATTTGGTCCAGCTGAAAAAGGTTAAAAATTAGCACTTCGGAAGCTGTCAAAAGATTTCAAGACCCCCTTAACATAGAATTGTCCATATTTTGAGTTAGAGCCGATGAAGTTTTCTATAATTTTGATATAATTTGTCCCAAAAGTAGTACAACACACTGTAAAAATATTATTGAGAAAGCGCAGGTGGGATTTTTTTTATTTTCATTTATTGTCTAAAAGAAATGCACTACGAAATAACTGTGTACTCGGACCTCATGTCTGGCCTTTTATAGCCAACTATACAGTATAAATTTTTCTCATTGCTGAAGGCTGTACGGTTGCCTATTATTGCTTACATTTACTTCATTTGAACTCTGGTGGATAGTTGTCTCATTGGCAATCATACCACATCTTTTTTTTTTATTATTTATATCAAGTAATATATATCTAAGACGTTCCTCACCTGGATGTAAAAGTCTGGTTTCTAATGCTGATTTCAATGATGTAACCAACTGTGTCCTCACATCAGTTTTCTCTAAACACAATTTAAGATCTAAAATTGCTGGTTCAGATTCAGGAAATTCTATTATGATATTGAAGAGCTGCTCAATTTGAATGTTGGCAAAAGATTCATACAGGAAATGGAGTAACCTCCCTTTGAATCCATCAATACAGTCAGAGTAGATATGTGTTCTGTTACCTGAATAAACCAGGTGCAACCAACCAAGGACTTTTGTATCTAACCACTGCAAAAATAAAGAAAAACATTAGATACTATTAACTTTACAGTAGTTCAGATTGTAAATTTATACACAAAAAAATATCCTATAGTAATAATAGTATTTTTCCATACACTGCAAACCAGACAATTAATTCTTTACCATTGGTAGATATTTTGTATAAAGAATCTAACACTGGAAAGAGTGAAAGACAGGAACTTTCAGAAACCCAAAGGTAGGTTTTTCAGTCTCGGACTGGTATGAGTTGAATTATCTAGTTATTCAACTTATACAAGGTTTTAAAAGAATTAAGCTTTGATTGATATTTGAAGGTAAATACAAAGTGATGTCTGACATTTGGATGGGTATGCCATAAACATTGAATTATCTGTAACCTCCTTGAATGGTGATTAAGATATATGTATTTGCCACTTTGTAAAACATGTATCACACAAGAAATACTTAAAATATATTTTTGCTATGTAAAACCAAATATTTTTTACTCTAATAATGCAATAGTCCATTCTTTTACTTTTGTACCATACATTGTAAATCCTCCAACAAAGACAGAGAAACAAATTCTGAATAACAATTTATTACATAATCATGATAATATAGTGTATTCCATAGAACTCAAATTTTTTAGTAGCTTTAATAATTCTCTACAAAAATATATGTTACCAATTGAGTGCAAGGTCTTATATTTTTAAGAATTTTCTAAATCAATGATAGCAATATTATTAATCAAAGCGCGAAAGCGCTGTAAAGGCAGTTAATTACAGGTTGTGTGTATTTTTAGTCCAGTTATATCATTATCTTGCATAGTACATTGTACTTATCAGAGGTGGCTTTCAGTATTTAAGATTTAGAGTTCTCTAATGATATTGAACAAGTTTTATGAATGTCATATTCTGAGCACTATATGAAGGCGATTGTTCTCACTTGTTTATGAACTAGTGCATTATGTCCACTTTGTACCTTTTTTTATCTATGTTTATAGTCAAATACTGTTTAAAATAGTTTGGCATTTTCTTTTTAGTAATAAGTAAATGTTATCAACTGTATTTTATTCAACTTCGCAAATGTGGTTTGTTACTGGTAGGTACAATGTATGGATGATAGTTGTTTCATTGGCAATCATAACACATCTCCTTATTTATATAAAATGATCTATATTCAACGACCTCATGATCAGGTACAAAAAAAATGTATGTAACTAAACTATGATGGGAAACCTTTGACTTCTTTCTTTTATATAAACTTTTGATTTGGTACCATAGAACTATGTAGAATAAATGTACATTGCAACATGTCAACTCTTTCAATGACAATACTTTTTTTAGAATCTATAACTCCAAGCAAAATTATATTTCCAAGTATAAAGTAATTTATGAATGAAACAAGAGTGCACACGCTGAAATGTCTCGCCATCTTTACTAATCATTGATATTATGTTGATAGTCCTAAATATAAAGCTTTATTACAACTGTCACATAACCAAGTAAACTAAACATTGACCAATGAACCAAGAAAATAATGTCAAGGTCAGATGAACCATGCTAGGCAGGCATGTACAGCTAACAATTCTTCCATACAACAAATATAGTTGACCTATTGCTTATAGTTTAAGAAAAACAGACCAAAACACAAAAACTTAAACTGAGCAATGAACCTTGAAAATGAGGTCAAGGTAAAAAAAAACCTGCGTAATTGACAAATAGATCATAAAATATTTCCATACACCAAATATAGTTGAACTATTGCATATAGTATTAGAAAAAAAGACCAAAACTCAAAAACTTAACTTTGACCACTGAACCATGAAAATGAGGTCAAGTCAGATGACACCTGCCAGTTAGACATGTACACCTTACAATCATTCCATACACCAAATATAGTAGACCTATTGCATACAGTATAAGAAAAACAGACCAAAACACAAAAACTTAACTATAACCACTGAACCATGAAAATGAGGTCAAGGTCAGATAACACCTGCCAGTTGGACAGTCCTTCCATACACAGAATATACTAGACCTATTGCTTATAGTATCTGAGATATGGACTTGACCATAAAAACTTAAACTTGTTCACTGATCCATGAAATGAGGTCGAGGTCAAGTGAACTGTCTGACAGGCATGAGGACCTTGCAAGGTACGCACATACCAAATATAGTTATCCTATTACTTATAATAAGAGAGAATTTAACATTACAAAAAATCTCAACTTTTTTTTCAAGTAGTCACTGAACCATGAAAATGAGGTCAAGGACATTGGACATGTGACTGACGGAAACTTCGTAACATGAGGCATCCATATACAAAGTATGAAGCATCCAGACCTTCCACCTTCTAAAATATAAAGCTTTTAAGAAGTTAGCTAACGCCGCCGCCGGATCACTATCCCTATGGCGAGCTTTCTGCGTTAAAAGTCACAGGCTCGACAAAAAGGAGTTTTTAATTAAGAAATAAACTGATTCGCTGAGCGCAGCTGGATACACCTGCAGAGGTCCAACCCTGAACAGTTTGGGCAAAAATGGACACAATATTCAAGCTTGATACAAGTCTGAATTTGGATTGTAATTAAATATTTGACATATTATAGTTTCTGAATAAATGTAGTCAAAGAACTTGAAATTGGTTATATGAATTGAATTTATATTCAATTAAAGATTTCTTGCTGTTGTGCAATACACTGTGCTGTTGCGCAATACTTAATAAATCTGTTGCCAGACTATAAACAAATAAAGTTCAATTTCTTCTCAATGTCATATTTGAAATTTAGGAAAATCAATAGGGAGATTACATCAATAGCTATAAATAATTCACCAAAGTTTCATGCGAACTGCTTAAAGCATTTTTGAGTTGTTGTCCAAAAACTGGAAAATCCCCCCCTTTTTTAATGAATAAAACCCCATAACTCAGAAATGTAAAAAATTTATAAAATTCTAAAGGGAGCTTACGGATTGATAATTTAGTCTTAGATGCAAGATTTTTTTATCAGTTGTTAGTGGCTTTGAACTAGCTGTCAGTAAATGCGAGTACTCTCAGATCTGTACTTAGTGTCTTTTTGTTGTTTGGATGTACAACTACCCGGCCACGTCCACTTGTATTTGTATTTATCCATCTGATGAGTTAAGCCTCTTTCAACTGATTTTTTATCGTTCGTTCTTATATTATACTGTTACACCACTGTCCCAGGTTAGGGGGTGGGTTGGGATCCCGCTAACATGTTTAACCCCGCCACATTCTGTATGTACACGTATGTGCCTGTCCCAAGTCAGGAGCCTGTAATTCAGTGGTTGTCGTTTGTTGATGTGTTGCATATTTGTTATTCGTTCATTTTTTGTACATAAATTAGGCCGTTAGTTTTCTTGTTTGAATTGTTTTACATTGTCATTTCGGGGCCTTTTATAGCTCACTGTGCGGTATGTGCTTTGCTCATTGTTGAAGACCTCTGTTAATTTCTGTGTCATTTGGTCTCTTGTGGAGATTTGTCTCATTGGCAATCATACCACATCTTCTTTTTTATATTTACATCAACAGATATAAACAATTCACCAAAGTCAAACTTGTAAGATCTCTGAAATTTTTTACACAGTACAAGTTTTTCTAATTGTTGGAGATTGTACGGTGACAGTAACACCTGTAACTGCTTAACCCATTTCTTATGCACTTTGGTTCGATAAACTCACTGAATATCATACCACATCTCCTTATTTTTATATGCATTACAATTTACATGTGCATGTAATTGTAAATAATATTTATATATATATATCAGAACAAACTTCATTGTGTCACTTTTATTTATGTATCCTTTGGCACAATACAAGTTCTAAAATTACACAACATAAAACAACTAAATGTTATTTCAGATGAAAGTTTTGTTTCAGTTCCATTCATAGGATTTATTAGAATTTTGTATGTTTTGCCAAGTCCAATAATTAGCTCTATGTGCACGTGTTAATTGGAGACTTTTCTATCCCGTAGAAGAGTTTTGGAACTAATTCTGTTTCTTTTTTTTGAAAAAAGTGAGCAAACAAATCTTGCACATTTAAACCTTTGTCTGCCATCACACTGTCACCTGGATCACATAATTGAACTATTCTACATCTTTCAACTATTTCACAGTCACTGGTACAACCAACATATGCATTAGAGACATAGTTGACTAAACCACCAGGTGTCGAACATACAAGTATTTTCAGTGTTTCTGTTTTTATATGATGAAAAGGTTGCCTGAGCTCTAGGAGCTTAAGGTTTTATCACGGGATATATTGTGCTGTCAATAATAATCCAAGTTGTAGGAAACTTTAATTTGAAGTTGGATGGCGAAAAATACCTGACTAAACCACTTAATGGCCAAGTGTTAGCCTCACGCCACTGTTTAGACATAAAAACAATCCATGTTTACACAATATTCTTAACACTAGTTTCAATCTAGAATCTAGACAGTTCAAAGTTGGTTGTATAATGCCTCAATTTCATCAAAGTCATAAAAAAACTGATTTTCAAATGACACCCTATCAATTTGAAAATATGTGTATCTCAAACAATGTGCTGCTGGACCAAGTGTGGTGAAAACAAATAAAAATTTAGTATACAACTCTAAACCGGTATAAAAATGCATGGCTGTGTCACGTGTCTTCATTTCAAAATTCTCTGCTGAAAATATAGGCATTGATGGTGTTTGCGTAATTCCATCTGTGAAGCTCAACATTAGCTCGGCAGTTGGTGGTGGACAGTCATAAATCCTGTCTGCAGTATGAATGACTTCTTCAGGAAAACCAACTTTACAATCAAAACTTTCCTCTAGATTTCTACTACAATATTCATCAAGTTTAGTTCTTTTGTTTTCACAGGAAACTGCCCTGATTTTTCTTTTTGCGGATGATTCAGTCTCTTGCTTAATCCAGGAAAATAGGCTGGGAATGGCAGTAGACTTAAGTCTCTGTATGGTGGGTTTGCGCTCTGAAAAAGGTTATAAAACATTAGTTTTTTGATAATTAAATGAACTTTCATTAGCAATGCATACTTATATGCAAAATATTAACTAGATTTATTCATTACAATCTGGATAAAACTATGTTAGCCTGAATCAATGTACATCAAAATGTATGTTATGTAAATCCAAAGTAAGTAAGTAAGTAAGTAAAACTTTATTTTGATTCGGCATATTGACAAACATACAAACATAAGCTCTAATGAGGACAAACAATGAGAGACGTATGCAACAAACATACATTGTTTGTACCTAAATAACTATAATATAGATGAGAGCATGTCATTGTTTTGTTCCTGTTAACATTGTCATTGATATTTTTCAAGAAAGTCTATGAGGCATAGCTTATGCATTCCTGTCATTACTACATTAGCATAATTACTGCTAAAATAATTCTCAGTATGATTTACCTCTTGTAAGAAATCATTATAATTGTAGCAAGCACCAAAAAATCTCAAACAGATCACATTGAATCGTAATCCAAAAAATTATGACGTCTTGAATTAACCACCCCCTTTTATTCTAAAACGATAATTGCGGTTGTAAACAAACTTTGGTTTATTCGCATGGCGATTACATATATAACTATATATTTTAAAAAGAAAATAGAGTTTTACCATGAATAGTTTCCTGCACGTAGTCTTTTTCAGTAAAATGTGCATTGCAAACAACAGCTGATTGAGATGGACTCCACGATTTCATCGTGTTCTCGTCCAATCTGCGTATGGGCCATGGCGTTGATCCAACTTTTCCTTCTTTTTAAGTCATTTGGAAATGCATGTCCTCCTCTTAAATGACATCCAGGTACACAACAACATGTACTTGGCATCGTTAATTAAAAATGCAACTGTAATAGTTGCACAGTGCAGAAACCGGAAGTTGAAGAACAGGATCGGCTACCACGGCGCCACCTATTCAGGAACGATAATTTGCTACTTTATATAACCGCGAAATAACAATTACGTTAGACGGGTTCGCGTGCATAAACAGAAATGCGCTTTAAATTGTATAATATAGTTCATGTTCAGTCGACCATTAATTATTATATCAACGATTGAAATGATTTATAAACATCTAGATTGCAGATAACACTCGAAATTAACCCGACCTCTTTCCACACGGAATTCAAATAATTCTAGTTTGTCAATCGGTTGACTGCTTATAATGTAAAATACAAATATATCAAAAGTTTTTAAAACTAACAAAACACAATGATCGTTTCTCTATTTCCCAATGTAAATGAAATGAAACAAAAAACATTTTATATCACAATAAGAAGAGGAGAGAATCAACATTTTCCGGATCTACTTGGAGCCTAATGACCCCCCACGTAGATAAGTTGGATATTGCGGAAAGAAAGATTAACACGGCAACTAGAAAGGCATTAAAGCACTGCCTTTAAAAACAAGAGTGCACACACTGAGATGTCACTCCTATTTTACTGATCATGATTGAATTTGATGTTGAAAGTCTTTAAGTTCACTTGATTCAAGGTTTTACTGCAGATAACAAATACACTTTACATTATCAAGATCCATGAAAATAAGGTCAAATGAACCATGCTAGATGAAACATGTACACCTAAGAATCATTCCATACACAAAAAAGTTGACCTAATACTTATAGTATCTGAGAAATTTGTGTTACCAAAAAACCATGAAAATGAGATCAAGGACAATGGACATATTCCAGATGGACACTTCCCCCATTCTGCAAAATTTGTCGCAGTGACAAATTGTTAAAAATGAAAGTGTTTTTTTTTCATCACTTTTCATTGGAAATCACTTCTATTAATGTCTATGATAGGTTTTCTATGACTATTTATCCATATTACATACTGTTTCCAATATATCAATATAAGATGTTTCAAAGTTGCCTTTGCAGGAGTTTTCCACATATGTCTTTATTCGTTCATGTACAATATTTGTGACAGCTGTTCCAGAAACTCTCTCCAGGATACCAATGTCATCTCTGAAATAGAAAACAATTAGTCTCAACTTCAACTTAAGTTTTGGATAAAACTGGAAAAGGGCAAAAATTGTCACTCAGGGGCATTAACTCCTATAGGAAATTGGTTGATGCATATCTTATTGTGTTGGAACAATTTTATAATTTAGTTTCTCCTTGTCTACAATTTTGTACTATAGTTTCTGCAAAAAAAACATGGAAATTGGTTAATAACCATCAATCAAGGGCAATAACTGCTATAAGGGGGCACTTGACAATTTCAGCCAGGGTGATTTATTTGTAAATATTATTGGCTTGGTGATTTTTCTTTGTAATAGTTTTCAAAATAATAACCACCAACAGACTGCTAAATTTGCTCAAATTAAACATGTAAAGGGCATTTACTATGTCAGTTTTACTCTTACTGCTTTAGTTTTTGAGATGTAAACTAAAAACTGGAGTGTTACCCTCAGCTTCTATTTTTAGCAACAGCAGTCATGTTTGTTGATGGATCAAATTCCAGCAAACAATTTTAATCCTGACTTGCTAGGGAACATTTAGGGAAAGTTTGGTAACTTTTTGCCTAGTAGTTTCAGAGGAAAGATTTTATAAAATGTTTACAACAGAGAAACAGAGGGATGACCACAATGCACTTCAAATGATGCCAATAGCTCACATGGCCTTTATAAAGTGTATTAAACAAGGTATCATTGATCCGGAGATGTATTTACTTTTTGTACGTGATTCAGCAATCATATCACTACTGTAAATTCAGAAATTATTGTGAGGTTTTTATTAATGCGAATAATGCGACTCGGTGAGTATCGCAATAATAAGAACTCGCATTTTGATAAATAAAACGCTGATCTAAACGTAGATTGTTCTGAAATCGCATTAATTAAACTCGCATTCTTGCCCATTTTTGAAAAATCGCAATAATAAATGCCCGCAATAATTTCTGAATTTATAGTATATTGATATTATTGGAAGGTTGACCAAAACATGTCTCTGTTTATACTAACAGTGTTCTGTTGAGATTATGGAAGTTGTCTATAGACATTATGTGTTGACAAAAGTATGTCTCTGTTTACGTTTACAGTTTAAGGGCATACAATACAGTTTGATCCCACGATACAGATTGATCCCACAGTGATTTTCTTACGAAAATTTGCATTCAAGCTATTTTTCACCTTGTCAATTCAAATATGTAATAAAAAATATATCTTCATGTGCTAAATATAGAGATAAATGCCTTTATGGGCTCTAAATCTTAGACTTTTACTTAAAATTTCGGTTTCTTGGACATTTCTATCCTTTGGACAGATATTACATTGTACTTAACTTTTTTTTCAAAGATAAACACATGTGGATTTTTGTAAAAAGATTTGGAGTATGTTTTCTTTAAAAAAATCATGCTCTTTATTTTAATGGCAATTCTTTGGAAATAATTCATTTTTATTTAATTTTTATGAGTTTAGAAAAAAACAACATTTTCGCTGTTTATTTATCTAATTTTAAAAAGATTTGTCAATGATTTCCATAAAAATTGGAACAAATAATCTTCATACAGTATCAAGTTAAATGTCATTTTAAAAAAGAGGGATCCATGTACATGTACTCACTTTCAAGCTAATGATTAAAATCCCTTGAAAAATGCATCTTTTCCTGATATATCACAGTTTGAAGTCGTGAAAAATAAGATTTTACGTTAGCAATATCATTACTTCCCCTGTAACTGTACTTATACCTTTAAATTTTCGGTTGAAATTATGTTATGTGTTTTATATCATGTTATTTGTTGACATAAGCATGTCTTTGTTAACACTTACAGTTTTCTGTTGAGATTATGGAAGTTAGACATTATTTGTTGACACAAGAATGTCTCTGTTTACACTTACAGTTTTCTGTTAAGATTATGGAAGTTAGACATTATGTGTTGATATACAATGTAAGCATGTCTCTGTTTACACTTACAGTTTTCTGTTGAGATTATGGAAGTTAGACATTATGTGTTGACATAAGCATGTCTCTGTTGGCTGTTCACACCCTTTACAGCTGGTCTCTTCGTCATCTTCACTGTCTAAAATAAATGATAATAGGAATAAAGATCCTATATGACAGTCAGCTACCAATTAAGTTCTCTAGGAAAAATTGAGAACAAGGACATATAAAATAATTGTAGTACCACTATGTTTATACAACTTTTGTAAAATGTATGAATTTTTATGAAAAAAGTAACTTACCGGTACATTACATCTATATACATGATAAAGATGCTACCAGTATACAGTGAATGAGAAGAAATATAATATGTACATTTATACCTTGATCAGGTTCAGTTGTTGTATGATGAAACACTTTAAATGCATCTGAATAAAATTTATTCACTATTTCTTGAAAAGTTCTTGGAAAAATGGAAAACAAAGTTGACTTCATTAGAAGTATAAACGCTTCTGTCAGAGAGGAAGTATTAAATAAGGTGGAAGACTTCCTCCAACGTTTAATCTGTGTTGTGGATTCAAGTCTTTGAATACAAGGGAGGTAGTCCATTGTCACTTTATGTAAATATTCAACTGCTTGAAGAAGTTGGTCTGTTTCACTTGGCTGTTCAGAAAAGTAGTTCCAAAATTGTGGGCCAACTTTTTGTCGCAAATCCTCTTGTAAAGTATCTAGAAACCATTCCTCTATGATGTGTCCTAAATCTTGCTTGCATAGAATTTCTACGGCATTCTGGAATTCAACTTCTGTACTGATATATGCCTGGGAAGTCTAAAAAATTAAAATGAGCAACTGTATAAGAGCTGTTCCATAAAAACATACAAAGGACCCAGGGAAGGCACTTCCTAATCTTAACTATGGGTGGGTGTCATCTATGTTTTTGCATGGTGTAAATGTAAGTAAAATTCTAATTCGCCTCTATAGGGTGTTACCCCATTTTTTAAAGTGCCTTCCTTGGGTACTATGTATGTTTTAATGGAACAGTCCACAAAAGATGTAGGTTGCACATGACAGGTTAGTATCAACTCAATACTCTTTCATTTCTACATGTAGTTTCAAATTTAAATTGTTTTTCAAAATCAGGCAATGGTTGTTTAACATGTACTAAGAGAATTGTGAGACATCTTACATCACAGAACAAACTAAATGAGACTTCAAAAATATACCAGAGTTTCATCTCAACATGCTCCGTGTTGAAGGCCTCACTGTGACTTTGAGATGAAGAACAGCATTAAAAGTGCAGCCCCTTTGCTTTTTGTGTGTTTTTTTACTGTGCATGTACTGATTTTGTGTCATGGATGGATACCCCATATCCTTTGTTTTTCTATTCTATTAAACTTCTATCCATTGCCATGATTGCGAACAATTAAATTAAACCTTCCATCAAAATTTTCTAAACTGTTTCAGGGATTTTAAATAATTTTGAACCTAACAGACTTAACAAGGATAGGAACTATATTTAAACGCTAAATTGTAGTTAACTTGATATACACATTTTGCTGCCTGATTAGCAGGCAATAATACGTAAAAAAATAAATTGTTTCAAACATGGTATGACATGTACATGATGGTACATTTTGGATAACTACATGTATACTGTAATTTCCTCATTCGTTTCCCATTTCATCATACAAAATCCAGGATAAAAAAAAAACTATCATGTTTCCTTGAACATTTGAGTTCAATCTCAAATTTCAATGAAATCAGCAAATAATATTTATTTAAGAAATGAAACTGCAAAAAAAAAAATAGCTAAGCAACACAATGTTGCAGATGAAATAATAGAACTAGTTGGCATGATCGACCCAATCAATTTGAACAAGAGATTGTGCATGCAAAAACGAGTGAGAGCAGTTATTTGCTATACAAAGGAAGAGAAGCTGACATGAAAAACATTGTTTAAAAAAAATATAGAAAACTAGATATGAACTATACTTTTAAGGTAGCACAATACAAAAACAAAACTTTATCCATTTTTCTTTTTAATATAAAAATAAGATGTGGTATGATTGCCAATGAGACAACTATCCACCAAAGTTCAAATGAGGTGGATGTAAGTAAGTTTTTTGTTACTTCTTAATGTCACAAATATGTTTCCATAAATTGGAATGTTAATGAGTTTTGATGATAATTAGTTTTTTAAACAAATACAGGTGCTGACTGATACAAAACTAGAACATCAGTGTTTTGTGGTTAATCAATAGAATGATCTTTGATAGCTTTATGACCACTGACCAGTTAAGAAATTAACGCTTACATTTGTATGTAAAATGATGTGGATTAAGTGGTTTATAGAAAAAAAAAATACTGAATTCCAAATAGAAATAAATTTATATATAAAAGCTGCCATAAGAAAAAAAGAAAACTATTACTTTAGGAGCTTTTGAGGGAATCAAAATAAAGTGTGATTTTTTTTCCAATTTTAATTTTCTTGGAATCTGGCAGGATCCAATACATATGTTTCGCACATGAATAGTGAAATTGGCAGCTTACATAAGTTAAGAAAGCAGTTTCAGCAACATGGTCTATTGAAGTGTAAAAATCTGGGACAACATACATGTAGACCGTAGTATTAGACAGATTAACGCTTTTGGGTATTTAGCTGAATTTGCTCCAAATAATCCTAGATCTTGAATAACCTTCCGACATCATGCAACAATCACTTTTTAATTTTGACCTTAAATGATTTTAATAGAGATGCTGTATGTTGCGGGATCTTGTGTGACTTTAATGGCAGACAAGTGTAAATGTCTGTTCTAAAGGAGTAGGACCAATTCCATTCAGCAAGTAAAGTTGGGGACAATCACCCAAATGGGTCATAATATCCCATTTGAGGTATTATAGCCCAAATAGGATATACATTTTGAAATTTTCAGTGCAAAAAAAATAGCAAAAATATTGAAAAGTGCATTTGTTTACATGCCATGCATGTAGGTCCATAGTAGCAACTTTTGGTTTGCATCTTTTCAAGATAACAAATATGTTGCTAGATTGCTTTGAAAAAACAGCATCTTTCAAAAGGATCAATCCAATACAGAAAAGTTGCCTTTTATGTAATCATTTGCACTTTGTAATATTTTCCATTAAACCTAAAGAAACTTTTTATGCACAGTAAATAAATATCCCATTTGGGGTAGTATATCCCAAACGTGATATTATAACCTTATTAGGTGATTGTCCCAAACCTGTTGAAGTATTTGTAGATATGCAAATGATATAAGAATTATTCTAGTAAAGATATGCATGATGCATTACTATGTTGACCAGGGCTGAGCCTGAAGCATACAAATTCTAAATGGTTAATATTTAAAAAGTCCAAATTCATCACTAGAACTGGTATTTAATTTCTTCCTAATACCAATCCACTCATATTAAGAACAATAAAAATTTGTAGTAAAAATAATTGTCTAATTTATCACTAGAAGGTACATAACATCTGAATCCGGGTCCGTTTGCTCCCATTCATGTTTACCCCCTTTCACGTTGGCACCCTACATATTTGCACCCCGGGCCCGTTCACACTCTACACGTTCGCACCCATTTTATTGGTTTTGTGTTAAATAAAGTGTCAATCGTTTTTTGGTTGGTGTATTGCTATAAATATTATTTTGTTCATTGTTTGAAAATGAAGTGACTTTCTAAAAAATGATTTTTGTGTTGAAATAATTTTTTAATCGTGTTTTAGTTTTTGTATTGTATTGCTCTAAATAAGTTTTTTTTTCATTGTTTCAAAATAAAGTGACGTTTTTTGTGTTGAACAGTTTTTTAATCGTGTTTAGATTAGTGTTTTGCCTATAAATTATTTGTTTTTTTTGTGTTGAATATTTTTTTAATGTTAAGATACCAAACCGCTATTAAACTCAACAATAATAACATTTTTAATCTTCATTGTTTTTACTCATACCAAGCTAAATACATGCTAATTATAACTACATGCAGAATTTACATCAAAGCTAGTTAAAACAACAATCACGATTTTCAAATACATAACAATAACACCAAATTTAGCTGTGTAAACACCATATAATTAACAGTAATCATACATAATTAACATATAATAATTAATCATTAAATCAATTTAAAACAATATTTCATTTAAAAATTCCCAAATTTTTATTTATGGAAATAAAAATATTTTGAAATAAACATCTAAAAAACATCTAATAATTCATCAGGTTTTTGAATTAAAAAAAAATGGGTGCGAACGTGTAGGATGCGAACGGACCCAGGGGTCGAACGTGTGGGGTGCGAATGTTAAGGGTGCGAACGTGTATTAAGTGCGAACAGACCCGATACCATAACATCTTCCCAATGACGATCAAGTTGTATTTTAAAGTTATCAAGGGTCTTTGCAGACACAACATTTTCAGGTAAACTGTTCCACTCGTTTATAATTCTTCAGGAAAAGTGTCTTAAATGAAATGATAAATTACATCGAGGCTTTATAAGTTTAAAGCTGTGTCCATGAGTATTGGAAGTCAAAAGACCAAACATTAGTTGGACATGCAAAAAGTCTCTGCATTAACCATATATGTAGCTTCAAAGTAGGAGCCCAGGCCCCCTTAGATTCGCCTCTGATGTGTAAGTAGAATGCCAAACTATCATTTTAGGGGTCCCATACTCATATGACTCTCATATGATATAGCTGTATGCCTGTATAGAGCTATTATTGTTTATTTATCAACAAACCCCAACCCTATCACCAGCTCTTACCCCCGAAACATTGCCCTCACCCTAAAGTACGTTGCCCCTAAAGTATTATTTTGACTCTAAATAGAAGTGATACTTTTTTTGCTCCAGGTGTTAAAGTGTCTGTTAAAACAGTCCAAGCTCGGTTGACAATTTCAACATTTGCCGCCATCTTGTCTTATTGGCCAATATATAAAATAATTACTACTGCTCCGGGAAAGGTTTTGAATAGAAATAGTAAAAAAAAATGTACTTTTACCTTGTACACTTCTGAATTTTTCGATTTCAATGTAACTGTAATGAAAAGCTGTCATTACTTTTTTTTATATATCTGATAAGAGAAAAAATCAAAAAGTGGTGTACTTGTAGTGTTTTTTTTTTTTTAATCTATATTATATTTTTTTTATCCCAGTACATGAAATCAGAGACATATGTATTCATTATATGTCTCTTATGAAATGTATTTCTAAATATTGCATCTCTTAGCTCCATTATGCAGTTCACTCCCTAAGAATGTCCCTCGGCTGAATTTGCTGTTACACCATTGTAATATAAAAAAAGGTTGAACGACCACCAAGGATCCCTTATCATATAAAAATGTTTATCAAACAAATATTTTCTTGAAAATTTCTTGAAAAAAATCATTTGTTTCTCGAGAGGGGATTCAAAGTTTATTGTTATTTAGTTTTTTTATTTTTGTTAACTATACTAACCTAAGTATTCTCTTTTATATTAAACATACAAGATCCCCTAATCAGAAGCAGCTGGTATATTTAATTCCAAATGAACTTTTTTGACACCGAACAAATTTCCGATTGTAAAAAATTGACTATCAGTGATTTTTTTGACTCAGAAAGTCATTATCAGAATTCCAGGTCATAGAATAATTTATCAATTCATAGAATACTAAACAAAATTATGTAAATATAACTTATCTCAAAAATTAATAATTCACGTAACGGTAAGTATTTCAAATGAGATTTATATCCCACTTTGCATTAAAAGGGTCTAATACATTTTTTGTTGTAGAGATTTTCGAATATTTTTTAATCATTTATAAAAAAGCACACATATTGATATTGTTCCATGACTGCAATTGCAATGTCATTTTTAGTTCTTAGAATAAAAAAACAGAATTTATCAGTTATATTGTTTAGATTTCTTATTTTTTAAAGACTTTTTTCTCTGGCACGGGCCCAGATGCATAGCGCATTCTTTTGGTTTCACCCACAGCGCCACCTATATTAGCAGACGACAGAAATGAACGCGGGGTTAAACAAATGTGAAAAAAAAATGAAAAAGTGGAAAGTCCGTCAAAATTGGAGAGCGACAGATAGTTACTGATAATTTACAGTCATGTCTGTTAAAGATCTCGACATAAACGATGTTCGCATAGAATTCCAAGCAGAATATGCCCTAAAGTCGTTAAACATCAAGCCAGAAAAAATTTCCAAATTGTTCAGTTTGGAAGAAACAAAACAACTGTTCATAGATTTCTTTGACAAAGCAGACAACAGAATATTAGTAATTGCCCAGCCTACTGGTGCACTTAATGCCCTGGTTGAATTTCCTGGAAAGCCCAAAGGAAAGGCTTGCTTTTTTGTGAAGAAAAACAAGGAAAGCATTGGAAAAGATGCAAACCTGAGAAATAACCTTTTGTATGGAGATTTATCATATTCTCCTTTAGAACAGTTATCAGCCTTTGTAGATGAGGTATCCTTCCATGTATAACTTACGCAGATCCTGGCCCACTTTTAGGGTGGGTCTTTTCACCACAGCAGAGTTCGCGAAAACTTATTTTGACCCGTCGGTCATGGGACCGACAAAGCATGATTATTTGTCAGTCCTACAAAATTTTAGCCAGTCCTACAAAACCTGTCAATTTTATCCTGAAATAAAATTAATAACATATTTTATCGAAAAATAACTTTATTAATATTAGTTTTATTCTTCGCACCCACAGGCAAATTAACAATGAAGGACCAGTTCAGGTCTTCTGATTGTTCTTATTTAAAGTCATCTTCACTATCCATTTCATCATCTGAATCACTTTCTCGGCTGTTACAGTATTTGTTTGCTCCATTGTAGGGTTCAATCGCCGATTGTTTGCCAGGGATGGCTCTATGAACAAATTTAGTAGGCCACGTGTAGATCGCCGCTTTGGTTTGTTTATAATAAATCCGTAAACCAGTACCGGAAATTGGCAGCGGGTACATCTGATAACCGATGTAAACACTTATTGGAAACAGTTGCGGTACATCTAATAACCGATGTAAAAAAGAGCCGAAATATGCACTTCAACGGCCGTTTTTACATCGGTCATCGGGACCGGCACTAGCCTTCAAAATACTGGGCCGAGCCTCATTTTGACCGACAGGACCGACAGGACCGACCATTTTCGCGAACTCTGCCACAGAACACTGCCGAACACCCAAAAAACCACAACCACTAAGAAAAAACAGTGATCTTATACAATAAAATCATAAAAAAAATTAAATTATGTATACCGTAGAAAGGCTTGTATAGTCCGCGGTTTTATTCTCCAAAATTGGACCTTCCAGACGGGGTGCGGACTATAGAGTACAATAAGCAAGAAATAAGAGAAAAATTTCAATTTCGCGGGCGAGGTGGTTTGTTTACATTCCGCCATCTTTGTTATTTATATTGTAGAGGGCGCTCTTATCATTTTTCAAACTAATAATTTTATCTCATCCATATTAATAAGTTATTTCTATTCAATATCAAATTAATACTGATAAATATAAAAACTAAACCTTTCATTACAAATATCTCGTTTCTTTTCAATGCATTGGTTGGAATAAACTGGTATCTGCTTGATTGAAACGTTACAAACATAGTGAAAAAGACAACCGTAAACTAGCTTAGAATTTGTAAACTACAAAACGTAATCGGTTATTGTTCGTTCCGTTTTGGTGTTTCATACTGACTAATATGGTTTGTATTAGCTTAAGACCCTTCAAACATTAATGTGATAGATATATTAAAGACTGTTTTACAAAAGGATGGAACTGTTTTACTTTCAAAGTCGTATTATAGTGATATCTGTTATGTACGGATTTCGACTCTCACCGGTTAGTTTCTTCTTTTACACGTGCTTTTTAAACTTCCTGTTTAAACATACACAAGTTTCTAAATTGTTTTTTAAGTGAATAAAACTTATTTTAACAATCATGAAGCGTTCTAGAATCATTTACAAGCAGTTTCAGCTTCTGTTTGATGATGGAAAACAGGTTTTCCCAAGAAAATACCGCAAACGACCGCACAGGATTTGAAATTACCGGAGTTTCATTAGACCTTTTCTAACAGTTACAAAAAGTTTTTTTACCTAAAATTTCGTGGGGAGAAGGGGGTGCGGACTATGTACCAGTGCGAACTATACAAGCCTTTCTACGGTAATTTTATCCATTTTTAGATTTTTATGGGCATCATATTTATGTTAAAGTCGATAATCAATATAATCAATTGTGACAGGAGGTGGTCGGTGATGACACCTCCCGGGACTAGTAGTGGCTAGTACTTCGTCCCTATTCGATCCTCTGAATACCTGATATCAGATTTTGGCAGAATAGAGACACAAATCATATAGAACTCAACAATTTATTTACAAATGACTTGAAATGTACAACATTCAATTAGAACAGTCAAACGAAATGAAAAAGAATACTATTTCAAAAGTTAAGTTCAAAAATGAAATGGAAAAGAAAAGTATTTCAGGTCAAATGAATGAAAATAAAATAGTTATTCAAATCAAAAACTTAGATAAAAAAAGTTACTGTATACTTCGCGTTGTGTTTTAGAATTTAGAAAATCGTATCAAAATAATGCCAATGTAGTTGCTGTTGAATAACTCCAGTGGAATGATTCATTCCGGCGAGCTGGTATATAGAGAAAGGTGGCAGTGCTACACTGCCGGCTCATTTATTCAATGTGGGGAGTGGTTTTCACCCCACCGTAGCAACTCCTGAATAAGTGGTAAGGAAAATCTTATCAATTTCAAAGATATAAATAAAAATATGGTATTGAAGAAAACTTGAATGAATTAATATTCATCAAATATATAAAGTAATATGAAATTTAAATACTTTTATAGTTAAATTATTAAAGCTACTTTGTATTTTAGCCTGTCTAGATCAAATTAAACATAAAATAAACATTTAATTAAGGAAGTACTAATCTGAAACAATTAAAGGGAGACTACCTAAACCACATTCATTACATTATATAAAGAAAAACGTCACCGAATTCATCACTATTTTTCTGGATTACATTGTATGTGTATATATATATTTCAAATAAAATTCAAATATATTCATAATTAGTAATCAGTTCAGTATCCTCGATCTCTGTTCATCGGTTAGATTTTGATATGTGTCTCTTTTCTAATTATTGGTACAAATATTTTATAGAAGAAAAAAATGAAAAAAAAATATATTTGAGGTGTCCAGTGGCAGTGGTGGTTTGCGGAGTTGTGGTGTTATAGACTCTCCTTTTCTGTTCAATGTAGATATTTGTTCTATTAATCTTATTATTTGTTGAATTAATAACTTAAATATTATATTTAGGTCACATTTATAACGATAAAAGATAAAAAAAAATAAATTTTGGGGTGTTCCGCAGTATGCGGTGGTGTTCAGTGGTGAAAAGACCTACAGCACTTAGAGCCATGTTTAAAATATATTTTTGAAAATATAGACCAATTTCGATATCTTTTTAAGTAAAATGATGTATAACCAGAGTCTAGAGACATATATACATGTTTGTATATATGTCTCTGCAATAAATTACGCAGATTGACGCCAGGTTGATTGGCGCAAATTATGTTATTGAACATCTTTCTCTTCACGTACATGACGTAAGCAAATGTGACTGAGTTCACAATATTTTTTTCATGTTTTTTGTGACAGACCAAGGACTGACTGGGTGTAAACTTTTGTAGTCCCTCATTTTAAATCTGCTTACTTTATCATATATAACTGACTCATAACTTGATTTGTTCTTCTTTTTTGCAGCTTCATTTTGATCTCCATTAATGTCACTTTCCTGAAATTCATGGCAGTGCCCGGCCCCCCTTTGCAAACATAATGAGCCACACTTTTGTTTTAATACTTTAACTGGTTCCAAAATTTTGATTTCCTGTGACATATTAAAGGCTAGAACCATTTACTACATGA